TTTCAGGAAGCTCCGGTTCAATCAAAACGAGCTGGGAACAAACCGGAAAGATATAGGACTGCCAATGGCTTTAAGTGAGTCAAGCCGCTCCTCAAACTCTGTGGCATTAGCATCTTCTCCGTCCATGTAGAGCCAATCTTGTACCTGAAACACACAAGACCGTCCTCAGTGTCAAACGATTACACTCACCATTGGAACCAAATAGTATATATAGTTCAAAAGAAAATTGATACATGCCTCATCAAGCTTCTCAACAAACGCCTTGCGCTCTTCTTGGGTGGATACCTTTTCAAACTCGGGTGTTTCCAGCTGCACCATGACCAAAATAAAACCAACGCTTAAGAGTTTTGAGAAAAATGCCAACTAAAAACAATATATAGCTATAGCAGAAACGAAGACTATAGCAATAAAAAAAACATGAAGCAGCCGAGATAGTGATCTATATAAAGCACACACCTTCTCTTTAGTAGCATATATATAAGATTCAAGGTTGTTTTTTAACTCAGCCGTTCTTCTTCTTTCCCTATCTTTCTTGTCCAAAGCTTCTAATTTTATCTTAGCTTCAGCAAGAGACTCTTTAGTAAAGGGTGCTCCAGGTCCAACAGTTTTCTCAACTACCTACAAGTTATGTATTCACACAGAATTGGTTTAGTGGTAAGGACATGAATCAAGAAAATCTTGGAAACAGTAAATTCAGAATATCACCTTCAGAGGTATTCTGAATGTCCGCTTTTTCAGCTTTTTTTCTGTACCCAGGTCAACAACAGCTGGTTCTTCTGCTGTTGTATTTGAAGCAGTGCTGTTTTCAGCATCGGTTTGTAGGTCCTCTTTATTTTCTTGTGAATTTTCGTCAGTGGCATTGCCCGTTGCTGTGGTTGTGTTACTATCAATAGTCACGTTCTTCTTAGGAACTTCTACCCATTCTGTGATTTCAATCACAGCATCTCCTCGATCTAGACTGAGAATCCCGCTTCTACTTAGAGAGAAATGCAAATTTGCCTTGATAGGTGCTGATAGATTCCGAGAAGAATATCTGTCCAGACCAACGAACTTACATTTATCAACTTATTCAAAGATTTTCCACATTAAAAGAAACATATTTCTCTCCAAACGGAAAGATAAACAGAACAATATTAGAACAAACTTTAAGCTCTTACTTCTCAGATGCATCCGTCAAACCAGAGACAGAATACTGTGCAAATACAGGGGAGGTGGTTCCTGGGGGTAGAATACCATCGGACTCATAAGCAAGTGACACGTCAAAATCTTTGTCAAGGACAAATGATCTGAAAGTCTGTCAGAGAATCAGGTACACAGAATTATTACAAGACAGAAACATTTTCTTAGCTTAAACAGATTTTGAATGTAATGCAGTACCTTGCTGGGTAGCTTTTTCATACGTGGTACGAGTTGCTGCTTTGTGCTCTCATCTTTCTTAACATTAGGGCCTTCCAACTCAACTAGAAAACCATAGGGGGAACCATCAACTATACCTAGCCTACGTTTCAATTTAATTCCATCGCTCAAGTTAGCAGCATGTAGTGCAGAGCCGAGAACAATAGCCTCATCAGCATCCAGATGTTTGTCTAACTGTTGTTTCCCAATAAATTCCTGGATTGTGCTCTGTAATTAAAACAAAAAATTATCTCTTAAATTCATTTAAAACAAAAAGAAAAGCAAAAATCGCACAATTTTGGATGAAATTGTCAAATTGATTGTCTTTGAGAGCATGAAAACCTACCTGTAGTTTGGGAACTCTAGTAGCTCCTCCTATTAGCTCCACCGCAGATATATCATCAATCTTCAAACCTGAACTCTTAAGCACATCTTTTAAAGGTGTAAGAGATCTCTCCCACAGATCTTTACAAAGTTCCTCAAACTTCTCACGGGAAATTGTACTCCTGAAAAAAGATAAGTGCGTTAGAATATCAAGCACTTCACAAAAATATTAGACCTATCATAATGCAAATTCGAGCATGTGAAATCATTATATCACTTTTGCAGCCAAGGTTCTGTGAGCTGGGAAAATAGAGAAACCCCGATTGATTGTAGTTCTACCTGAAGTCACGATCATCATGAAGAGATTCAACAGAAATTGGAGCTGCAGTGTTTGCACTCAAAATTTCCTTTGTACGTTTGACTTGTTTTTTCAATTTAGCCATTGCTTTGGGGAACTTCCTCACATCAACTCCATTACCGAGCTGTTTATTAAACTCATCTGCAAAGTGCTCTACCAAGCGCATCTCCATACTCTGTCCTCCAAGTCCCGAGTCCCATCTAACATCCTTGACCTATATTAACATAAATATATTATGACCCACAATGAAAACCATTCCAACTGAGAGCAGAACATAAGAATACAAATGAGAACAGGGAAGCTTATGTCACACTGTAGAAAACAAGAAGCAAAAGAGAGTAGAAACCACAAAATAAAGTATATCTGGAAAAAATCCGAGTAATTTAATAGAAGAGCATTATTATTAACCTGAAATTGGTTGACAGAAACAGTCTTGCCATATTCCTTCTCACTGTAAGCTGAGTAATAGACAAGGGCTGCGTAAGTACTACTTGATCCCATGTCATAAAATATGACATGTCTCGACCCATTAGAGAAATCCTTATCAATCCCATACTGCAAAGCGGCACCGGAATGCTCATTAACCAGGGAGAGGACATTAACCCCAGCCAACTGAGAAGCCTGGATCAAACCCCGTCTCTCAGCCTGTCCAAAGTAAGGTGGAACTGAAACCACCATATCCTTCACTGGGATTTTGGCATGGAACTCAGCTAGATTTGAGGCATAACCCAAGATCATAGCTAACAACTCCTCCACTGAGTAAACAGTCGAACCGTCATCGATCTTAATACCAACTGCACCTCTAGAATCTTCCACAATATCAAAAGGCAAGTAGACAGAATCGATGAAATCCTTAACATGTTTGAAAGGTTTTCCCACCATATCCCTCAGTTGTGAATAAACTTTATTCGGATAACGAGCCGTTATCCCCGCAGCTTCCTCACCCAGTAACCGGTCTCCAGATTGGAATGCTACTAAAGCTGGGGATTTCCTCTTGGACATCTCATTAATGGCTACAGAGATTGGACTCTGTCCCCGTTTCAGATTAACTACGGCAACTTTAACCCATTCTGAACCTAGATCTACACTCGAAACAGCCGATTCCGATGGAACAGGGACTAATGAGATCAATGACAATAACACCACTAACCAGGTTAACATCTTCCCCATATTCCAATCGTTAACTAAACACCACGAGTAGAGAGCAGCACTTCCTCTGCAGGTATATAGAAACAACCGCATTATAATCAAAAACCCTAGAAACAGAATAAATCTAACAAATTTACATGCGATTAGATTTCAAACTTCAAATCGATCACGGCCTATGAGATACACCGATTTATCAGCTCTAGAAAAGCTTAGCATAACCACTAAACGGAGTAAAATCACTAACGCACATGGAATCGAAGAGGAAAACGTTAAAATTAAGCAATGTTCAAAGCAAACAAACAGGAGCATTCGTAGAAAATTCCGATACTCGGAGAGAAAGAAAAAGCAATCGGGGCAGGTAAATTTGAATCAAAGAAACTTGATAAAACTAAGAAGTAATTTGAGAGAGTGAAGAGAAGATAATGACCAGTTTCCGATCTCCGATCGCATTCTCCGGGGGAAATCGATTTGCAGATTCAAAGTGTTTTCCGTCAGGTTCTGGAGAAAACTTTAAAGGAAGAAAAGTAAACAAACGAGGACAAGAGTGCATATATATAATTATTGAGAAGAGATACTGACGTGGAATAAGATTCAGAGTTACCACCAATGAAAATATTCCACGTGTGGAAACTAACACGTGTTGATATGTGAGACGCTTAGTGTGTTGGTGATTACGCTTGGTAGGCCTAGAACTTTGGAGTGTTTTGGTTAAATCGCAGGTGAAGCTTCTCGCACAACCAGAGAGTCGGCATCTGGGATTTAACCAAATCTCGATATATAATGATTAAGATAACAATTACTAAAAATATGGTTATTTTCTTAATATCTCTACAATAGTTATTTACTAAATAATTTAGGATATTATTAAATAGGATTCTATTTTATCCGTATAATTTTTAAAAGAAAAAAAGTAACTTTTTGTTTATATTAACAAATGCACTCGTTTCAGAAAACAAATATTGATAAAAAAAATTGTGACGACGAGACATTGGTCAAAAAATCCTCGAATGTTTCTTTTTCAGTATAGTAAAACCTCTATAAACTAATAATGTTGGGACCGAAAAATTCTATTAATTTATAGAGGTATTAATTTATCGAAGCGATTTTACTAATTTTGTAATTTTTAAAAATATTTTATCTGGAAAGCAGTTTTTTCTTTATAACCAATTTTTTTTCGAAACCAATTATAAGTAGAAAATTAATTATTAAGTTTAAAAAATAACACAAACTTTTTCGAGGTAGTAAAAATATTAAATTTAAACTCTACCAAAAATTAATACAAATTTAAGAAAAACAAACAATACTTAGAGTCATGTTTCAATAAATTTTTACATATAATATATATATATATATATATATATTGATAAGTTTATATAATTATTAATTTATAATATTGATAGGACCATATGTTTACATAAGATTTTCAAAAAGAGGTTATTAATTTATCGAGTATTAATTTATAGAGGTTTTACTGTATATTGAAGATATATAACAGTAAAATTTTCAATGTATGGGGTTGATTGGTACAAAAATACACATTTGGTTGTGAATTCTAATGATTTTTCCAACCAACAAGGCAAAATCTTAAAATCATACCAAAATATAATATTTAAACTTTAGTGAAAATAAACCCACATATTTTCTGATTTTCAAAATGAAATACAAACAAAAGGATGTTAGGAATCAGAGGAAAACTTGATTTTACATTTCAGGAAATCTAAGGGAATACAAAAGAAAAAAAAAAAAAAAAAAAAAAAAAACCAACGGGTTTAAGACCAAAAACTAGATATGAGGTAATAATATAAGACAAGTACAAGACAAGAGAGAGTTTTGGTGGTGTTTCAAAATCAGAAAGAAACAAAGAGAGAACTGGGTTATGTATGCCTATTCGATAGAAGTATCTATGAACACTTGAAGCAACAAGTAGCTAAGCGGGAAGCTCCTATTCCTCTCCTCGATCTACCTGTGATTGATCAATCTCCTTACAACAGCTGAGACAACATAAGACTTCTAATTATATCATGTACATTATTCTTATGCTTTGATGTTACTATTCTCCAACACAAGTTTGGAATTTGACCTTACCTGGTTACAGTAAAATCTCCAGCGACCTCCATTGATGCAGCAGAACCAATTTGCTAGTCAGGGAAAACTTCGTCGTGCTCATTGTCTGCTGAAGACAAATGTACATGTCCAGGGCTGGTACTGTTGTGGTTCTCTTCTGACATGTCTTCTTCTTCATCGTCAGTTGAGGTTTTGTCGTAAGAGAAGGGTCTCTGACATATGCAAGATTGCGGGTACTCATGGAACTCACCGCGTCCTGGTTTGAACTCATCTGGATCACCCATGAATCCGCGCTGACAAGATTTCACTTTTTTGGCGAAAGTTTGCCACTCCATCTTTTCCCGGTCCATGAACAAAGCACTGAGCTTCTTTGCATTTGGCCTGATGGTCCTCTTGTGACCCATGTACCTCCTGTAAATACATACTCAGAAGAGTCATGATCTCGTGTCTGATGGGTTAAGCGGATTAAGGAGCATGGCCATTCAAGCAATACATGAATCAACAAATTCCCTGTGGATCTATATTGATGCAAATGCAACCAGAACGAACGTGTGAATGAGGATGCGCCGTGTAGCTATCATAAGCCTCAACAGGCGATAGCATCTTATCATTTGTTTCGTACTGGAAAACATTTTTAACAGTAAAGCTATAATGGGGACAAGTGGAAAATATCCTTACCTTCGGCCTGCAAGAATCTTGGCCATATTTCCATTATTATTGGTGATAAACACGTCGCTTTCGTCACTAACAATGTAGTCAATGGCAGCAAGTCGTGAAGAATAGGGAAGCAGAGGCTTGAGCTCATCGTTGGCAAGCATTTCTTTGGTGTAAAAGTTTGGAAACAGCTCTCTCAATGGTCTCAGTGTCTTTTCACCACCATATATTTCTCCAGATGCAACATAGATATATGTGTCGTTTGTAAAACCAAGAGCACGCAGCATTAATCCCACTTCATGAGGTGTAAGCGGGCATTTCCCACGCTTTCTTTCTTCCAGAGGGTCCAGATCCTGTGGTGATTGGCTAGTGAGATATTGTAACTCCAAACAACTTCTCCACAAGAAAAGATAATTTGGGTGTAATGGTCTTATTCTATGATATTTGCATGAATGTAACAAGGTATACAAAACATATTTCTTAATATAAGAAGCGCAAACACACATTTCAAGTTTCAGTTTATTGCATAGGTAGAGGAATAACGCAGAGAACTTGGAAACTTAAGAAAGTTATGTAAAAGATCATAGTGAACTCACAGGCAATGTGTCCCATCGTTTTCTTATTTCTGCTAGCTCAGCTCTCTCTTTTTCACCCCCACCAAAGTCACAACCAGAAAAGGCTAGCATGTCAGGCTCAAATCTGCAGTTCATAAAAGTATGGTTAGATACATACATGAAGATGTAGATGTCATGCTTATATGACATGATTGAAAGAACATTAAGCAAAAAGCAGATAAAACAATCTAATATGGCTTTTTAAAGAAACTTAATAAACCTCAAGTGGACAGCAATAAAACGTTTGGCCATCTTTCTCATCCTCTTGACCACTTTCATCCCAACTGATTGTATCCGCTTTGTGAATCTTAAAGCATGATAGTTGACCCTGCAGCGCAACTTTTGCATGTCTTCGTCTAGATCATTTGCTAGTCTGTAGTCAAACTTTGTCAATTGTAAAACCTGCAAGATTTCAACAAACATGAATTAGCTCCTACCATACAAAACTGAAACAGAACCATAGAACTTTTGGGAACAGCAAAAACAAATATAACTGGTGTATAATATAGGCATCAGATGATAAAACTAAATGAATAGTAGTACCTATGATTCTATTTTTTTTTTTTTTTCCTCTCCTATGATTCTATTTAATGAGGTAAATATTACAATTTGATTCGTATTTGACATAGTCTTACATGTCTCCTCGAGAGAATTGGCAACACTTGGTCAAGATAATACTCAAGAGTAGACTTTCGAGGCACACGCGTGGTATAAGGAGGTTTCTCCATCGCACGCATGACTCTGTCAGGAACTCTCTTCACTATAGTCACATCTTTGGCGAGAGAAGATATGAACCAGTTAACATCAAAAATGTCACTGAAGTCACTGCACAGCGAACAAAGCAACTTTTTCAGTAAAGTTTTGTGCTAAAAACAGATTCAGATGATGCATTCCCATAAGAAATTGACACGGCTACTGTATATCTTCATCTGCCAAAACTTGCTAAAGTTACCTGTCATCTTTCCAATAAGAATGGTGATCCAACTCGGGTACAACTAAAGTAGCATTAAGTATCCGTGCAACAACCACTGCATCAGTTATCTGCTCATAAAGAGAACATTATTTTCAAAACAAGCCGAGGAGACTTCAATGAAGATACAACTGCGGCATAACATGGAAAATTTACGGGAAAAAATGCAGGTCCTAACTCCCTAAAGACAATAAGCAATATAACCTTTTTTGGTTGGGAAAATAAACAATATAACCATGAATACTCTATAGGGAATATCCTAACACATTTATTCTCGAGCATAATTTCACTTACTCCTGTTCTTTGTTGGTTAAGGCCTCCACTAGCTGCAATAAGCAAATATCCATTAGATGAGTGCTCCTGGACAGCAGCTGCATACCCCAAAACAAGATGGAAAAAAAATGTGTGAGGAAAATTCATCTACACAACAAAGTTTCAATGATACAAGAACAAGAAATATTGGAAGCCTAATTCACTTGTACATCAACAAATTCCCAAATTTATAGTGCCAGGAAGCAAATGTGCTTTTAACCAAACTAAAAAAGGGGGCTAAGTCAAATATGCTATTAGATCAATAAAGTCACAGACTTTTCCTTCTAGTATCCAAGATCAATTTGGAAAAAGGACAAAACTTTCACTTTCTTATAACCCCTTATTCAATGAGGTAAGAACAACACATCTAACTTACGAGGGAAGTTCCTTCCTCTCTCACTGCATCCATAGAAGAACTTCGAGTATTTTGACTTCCATACATCAATTGGTTCTCGACGGCTCATATCCTGAAGCACCAAATGAAATATAACACAAAATAGCAACTTGGTTACAAAATTGAGCAGAAGAAGTAACAAATGAAACACTAATAAGTAAGCTAAAAGGTACCAGTAAGCTTCGTTTGCTTAATTGCTGAGAATACCACTCAAGGTGCGAGACAACATGACCGGTGAAGAGAGAGATGACTCCTAAAGAGAAAAGCATGAAACCACAAACCCATGTCCACATTACGGTTCTTTTGGGCTGACCAGAGAAAGATCGCCACTTCCATAACGCACTCTTGTGAGAGCCACCGTTAAGCTGAGGCGAGTTCGTTAATAGCCTCACGCTCGACCTCCAAACCTCAGCTACTACGCCCATAGATAGAAATAACTTCTTCTCACCTCCAATTTCATCACTGATTTCACGGAAATGCCATCCCCCGATTCGATACGACGAAGAATCGGGGAATCCAAAGGAATCTGATACACACAAACTGAAGAAATCTCAAGGAGATGGTTCTTGATCGGAGGTTAAACAGATCGGAGGATTAGGGTTTTCAAGAAGACAGTGAAGTATGTGTAAAGGATCTCTCTTTCTCTCTGTAAAGTTTTGAGATTTTTCGAAATGGTGAAGACGGAGAAGAGACGAGACAGTACCAAAGTTTTGCCTTTTTGTCCTGAATATTTTTTTCTTGTTTTTTTTTTCTTTTTAATTATTCACCTGAATTAATTAGTTACACTAATCACAAAATTAATCTTAACCGAGTTATAATTTACATATTAAACCGGTTTCTACGCCACTTAAGAGCTAAGATTTGCTTTAAGCAGAACTAATTTGGCCACATTTTATTTTCTTCGACTTCACAGTGAATAAAAAGTTCGAATTTAGATATATTAATTTTGAATAAGATTAAGGAAAAAAAGATGTAATAATGTATATTCATTCATGTCTTTTTGGAAATATAACAAAAATAGACCGAAGAAATAACAAATGTACATGAGAATCTGGAAAATCACAGTAGCGAATTTAAAGGTAGTTACGATGAGTCACGTGATACAATTACAACAACCCACGTGTCCGTCGCTAACCCACCGGCAAGTTACGATCACACACACGATAACCAAACCGGAACAAATCGAGATTAGAGTCTATACCGAATATTAAACCGATTTTTACACAAATTAGGCTTAATTACCATAACAAGTTGGTTTTGTTTAGTTGGATAATTGGACCAGTGATCAACTCCTGATACGTAGCTTAATTAATTTGGTCACGTTATGTTGCGCAATTATTAATTAAGCTATCAATTAATTAGCATGGATATAATTCGGTTTGTCAGAATCTTGGTGGCACTCAAAAAAGTCAAATGTCTTTTTTATATCACCACAAATAGTCAACTTTCTTTTAAAATAGATTTTACAATTTAATGAAGAAATTAAGGACACCATTTTTGGATAGGAAAATTGTTTATGCCTTCTTTTGGCCATTTGTATTCCATAGTTGAACTAAAAGTCTAAAATAGTAAAATGTCTAAGCAAAAATAAACTTGGTTTATGTTGGTCACATATCCAATCACTCTTTGACATGAAGAGGCTCTCTTACTAAGATCAGTAATTAGAAACGTTATTCCGGCCAAATGAGAATACAACTTTCTTTTTGTTGCCATTAGGATAACATTTAATTTATTTTAAGACAATAAACTAAATATAGTTGGTCCAAATCCATATCTAGAGACCAATCTAGAGTCCTTGACGTTTATTAATCAAATGGGCGAGTACCTACATGGGATTTGTTTTTATGATGGAATTTGTGTGTTGGATTTACATGATCAGCTGAACTTGTGGAAAGCGATTCAATTGTTGGAAAATAAGCCAACTACACTTCTCAATTTTCGAGAATGTGTTCCATGAGACAATTGTGATTTCCTTTGAAAAAGTATTTTGAGCTTTCTACTAAACTTTTTTTTTCATTAATCGTCCCATAAATAGATTTTGGCTTAATTATGGACCAAAACGACTACACAGTTACAAAATGGACTAACCCCAAATTAGAGATACACGGGAAAAAAATTTGGAGTCGTATAAAAAATGAAGCAAACATCTAATCTAGGAAATTTGGCGCTAACAAGGACTCCTTTAATTTGCAGCTTTGATGCCAACTTCATGACAAAAAGACGGTTGTCTTCAAACAGTAACATGGTCAGAATAGTGTTAGGAACGATGAATGAGAGGAGTGCTATTGAAAACTCGTCAAACTAAAATCAGAGAAGATACCACTTATACTTGTTAACGATTTAAAAATGGGTGGACAAACGAAAATAGTTAGTTAAGCCAAGCCAAGAAGCTAATCGTTGCTAATTTATATGAGTAAATGAATATAAAGCGAAAACCAAGTGGGGGAACTTTGAACCCTAATCGAATAATCACGTGGGAAAATATAATTTGTTGGAACACCTCTAGTGCCATTGTCCATTTCCCTCTAGAATCTCTCCGAAGGCATTACATCACTATCATTCATTCATTTGTGTAATTATCTCTTTCAACAACCAAAGGTAAGTCATCTGATTGGTTAATCTTATTACATTTGTTTATTTAATATTTGACGTATCTATAGTTTTTAATAATAGTAGATATTAGATAAACAACCGCAGCCTCCAACGACAAAAACAAAGGTATGCTTAAAAAGAGTTTGAATACGATAGGACTAATCTACAAAACTAAATAAATAATTGAATCTAATTGGTATTCTAATTGTTTATCCTTTTGGTTCAACCTCCCTATCTTGTAAAATAGGAGAAGTTCTTCTGTTAGTTGTCTCCTCTCACACGTAACCCTATCCCTGATCCTAAGGATTTCTTCTTCAGACAAACTTTCCCGTAACGAAGAATATGAACTACGTACTAAACCTTAAGAAGGTCTTTATTGTTCTTAAATAATAGTTAAAACAAGGATTGGATATATTATTGAAATTGAAATTTACCTAATTCTGGTCAACAAACTCATTAGACCGATGACAAAAAAAAAAAAAAAAAAAAAAAACTCATTAGACCTCAACTATACTCCAACGAACCGTTCTCAATCATCTATGTCACACTCATAGCTTAATTAGCTCAATTTGCTAACGAAAATCATCAATATCCATTAATTACGTACTTGCTTTTATGTCCGATATATGATGTTATGTAAGACATATCAATCCAATACTTTTCATTTATTTGAAATTATATTTTTTTGGTTATTTTATCCTTTAATCAACATATATATAGTCACCAAAAAAGGCTCTCATTAATTAGAATTCAATCACGCCTAACAAAATCTGGTTACAAAAATAAGTGACAGTCCAAGTAATTTCTATTCCTATAAATTTTTCAAATCTTTGCAAACCCACGATTTTTTTTTAATTTTCATGTTTTCTGTTTGATTAATTCCTCTTGTTGCTTGGTTTACTTTTTGTTTGCCTTTTTTGGTGTGTGTAATTATCAAATCTATTCCAATATTTGGGCACCAAATCTTTGTCATCGTCCAATTAACACGAACTTTTAAACATTGATCATATGTATGATATATCTACGCACTTACATAAATGCTGCGGGACTCAAGTATGGTTTCATAAAACGAAAGCATGACATCTAAAGTTAACTTGTGGCAAGATTCGGTATTAAATTTTACACTAAATCGATTTTAATCGTGTAGTTAATTGTCATATTATAACAAGTAAAGATCTACCGGTAAAAATTTAGTTTACCCGACGAACCAACTTCCAAGTAGTAGTCCAAATCATAGATTCTTTTGTGGATTTAAATGTAGGAACCCTCACGTCAGAATCTACCTAACTCTTTCCCCTTTTTCTGTCTCTCTTTCACCTTTCCTTCTCCATCGATCTTACCTCCACGGAACTTCTTATTTAAATCAAAAAGTTTTAGAATCTTTTAATCTCACGACTCACGCAGACAAATGTCTCGTAAATTAATCTATAGAAACAGAGCTCTCTGTTTTGTCTTAATCTTGTTCTCTTTCCCTTACCGGTTTGCCGCTAGAAACCTGCCGGAGGCGGGAGAATCCACAGCAAAAGCAACTCAAATAATCCACGTCAGTAATTCCACGTGGCATGATTTCTCTCGTCTTGTAGATGTCCAGATAGGTAGCCACGTCAACGGCGTATCAGAGCTCAAAAGATACCTCCACCGATTCGGTTACGTCAATGATGGCTCGGAAGGTTTCTCGGACGTGTTCGATGGTCCGCTCGAATCGGCAATCTCTCTGTACCAAGAAAATCTTGGTTTACCGATAACCGGAAGACTCGACACGAGTACCGTCAGTCTCATGTCTTTACCGCGATGTGGCGTTAGCGATACACACATGATCATCAACAACGATGTCCTCCACACAACGGCGCATTATACGTATTTTAACGGTAAACCGAAATGGAACCGTGACACGCTAACTTACGCTATCTCGAAAACACATAAACTCGATTACTTGACGTCAGAAGACGTCAAAACCGTTTTTCGGCGAGCTTTTTCGCAGTGGTCAAGCGTGATTCCGGTGAGTTTCGAGGAAGTTGATGATTTCACGACGGCGGATTTAAAGATAGGGTTCTACGCCGGTGATCACGGTGACGGGCTTCCGTTTGACGGAGTTCTCGGGACTTTAGCACACGCTTTTGCGCCGGAAAACGGGAGGCTTCACCTCGACGCGGCGGAGACATGGGTCGTCGATGATGACTTTAAAGGATCTTCCGAGGTGGCCGTTGACTTGGAGTCTGTGGCAACTCATGAGATTGGTCACTTGTTGGGATTAGGACATAGCTCGCAGGAGTCGGCGGTTATGTATCCGAGTCTCCGGCCGAGGACCAAGAAAGTTGACCTTACGGTTGATGACGTGGCAGGTGTACTTAAGCTATATGGTGCGAATCCTAAACTACGGTTGGATTCACTGACGCAGTCGGAAGATTCTATTAAAAACGGCACAGCACGAAGATTCTTGTCGGGGAATTTTATCGGTTATGTTCTGTTGGTTGTTGTTTTGATTCTGTTCCTATAGGGTTTATAGGACAAAAATACTGTTTTTATTCATTTATGTTTGATTAAATGTACATACATAATTAGACTTAGGTCTAGGGGAAAAGGATATGTTTATGGTCTTGATGATGGCTTCCTCTAAGGGATTATTATTCTTTGATTAATTACTTTGAGTTTGTGTATATCATTATCTCAAAAATTGAAAGATGTTGATGTTTATGGAACAATACATGATTGGTCCCACCCCTAATGACATTCATAGGTGATTGATGACTTTATATTTGTGCTCAAAGTATTTACTGTTTTTTTTTGTTTAATAATCTAGACTAGATTGATGAAAAGAACACATGATTTAAATAAAAGATCTGATCTACTTTCTTAAAATCCTATCTTCATTTGTTTTTCCTAGTAATATTTTCTCCATATATACAAGCTATCTTGTGTCTTGTTCAGACAAAAAGAAAGAATATAATACCATTACTGAAAAATAATCATTAAACAGAATCTTATTTAGGTTAGGAAACATAAAATTGGTTAAGTTTTTTTGGCAAAATACAATGTACAAAGTATACAAACCTTTGTTTTCAAAAAAAAAAAAAAAAAAAAAAAAAAAAAAAGTATACAAACCTTTTTTAAAAAATAAAAATCAAGTGTTTGTAATTTGTATCATTTACTCCATTAATTTGTGCAAAGTTACAAACTAAACTACTATTATAATTATATAAGCCTAAGAGCATGTTTATCAATAAAACCCTATGAGTATCACAAGCATTTTTTTAGTATTAAATTAATTAATTGTTTAATCAATGTCGAATGAAACCGTATCAGAAGTCTCTACCCACTGAGCCGTTTCAACCCAGTCTCAACCCAAAATGAATTTTTTTAATATTTTTCATGGGCTGATACCCATCAAATATCATGGATAAACATGCTCTTAGATCTTGAATCATAAGCCCAGCCCAAGATAATCAATTACAAGAAGACGACTAAAATTTTCAAAATGCAGACAGACAAGTTGGTTTTGTTGGTTTCAAATCGAACCAAACCGTTTTCTTAGAACTACGAACCGAATGGTTTGTTTTGGCGAAATCGGTTCGTTTTTTTTCTCCAAACCTATTTGTAACCTCTTCGTTTGATTAGGCGGTCGTCTCTCTCAAATTTCTGAAACCTCTTAAACCCTAGCAATGCCGTCGAGTTTCTTCTTTGAGGATGCTAGTGACGACGAGCTCGAATTACTACGCAATCAAGAGGATAGTAGTGAGGAAGATGTAGAGGAAGACGAAGTAGAAGAGCATAAATCTGGAGAAGACGAAGATGGAGAAGAGGAAGATGAAGATGAAGACGACGAAGAAGAAGAAGATGAGAAGCGGAAACGAGATGCTGATGCTCAATCTCCTTGGGATTTTGCATCTTATTCAAGCTCCGTTGGTGAAGAACACGCCCGCCGTCACACAACGTCTATTGATGAAAAGATCTCTAAAGCTATTCAGCATCGTCCAGTTCCCATTTCACTAGAGGAAGAGGAAGAAGAAGAGGAAGAAGAAGATGCCTCCGATGCTGAACCTGACAAACAAGTAAATAATCCCTTAATCTTTTATTTTGAATTGATTGAATTCGATTTCGAATTAGGTTTTTAGAGAAATTGAAATGTGATTGAACTGTGAAGGAGGAGTATCTTTCGGAAGACGATGAGGCAGCTGAGTACAAACCAGAAGATGCTATTCACAAGCCGTTTTTCTCTACAGTTGATGGAGTTTCATTTCATGCTGATTCTTTCATGGAGCTTAATCTCTCTCGTCCATTGCTTCGAGCTTGTGAAACCCTCGGTTACAAGAAACCTACTCCGATTCAGGTTTGAATTCCTCCCGCAAGAGAGTTCTAATTCAGTTACTATCTAGAGTTTTCATCTGAATCGCTGGTGTTGCAAAATGCAGGCAGCTTGTATACCTTTAGCACTTACAGGGCGTGATCTTTGTGCCAGTGCCATCACTGGATCAGGGAAGGTGAGTAGTAGTGTGAGGGTTTTGTATTTATCTAATATGCGGAGTTTTGATTATGATGATTTCAATTTACCTTGTTGTAATAGACTGCTGCATTCGCTTTACCTACTCTTGAGAGGTTGCTGTTCCGTCCCAAGCGTGTCTTTGCTACTAGAGTTCTTATTCTCACTCCGACCAGGGAGTTGGCGGTCCAGTAAGCAGCATAACTTTGCCTCCCGTGACAATACTAAACGTTAGAGTCCTTTTGATTCTTGTTGCTGAAAAAGCTGATTTGTTTCGTTGGAATGTGTTACAGGATTCACAGTATGATTCAGAAGCTTGCACAATTTACTGATATCAAGTGTGGATTGATTGTAGGAGGGCTTTCTGTAAGGGTATGTATATGTATTTATCTGTTTACATTATTTGAAGCTTATTTTCTCTCTGAGAAATGTTTCTTAAAATGGGAATCGAATTTGAGTAAGATTGCTAAATTTTTAATGTTTCTTGTGTTAGGAGCAAGAGGTGGTTCTGAGGTCTATGCCAGATATTGTTGTGGCGACTCCTGGGCGTATGATAGATCATTTGCGTAATTCTATGTCTGTTGATTTGGATGACCTAGCGGTTTTAATCCTCGATGAGGCAGACCGCCTTCTACAGACTGGGTTTGCCACTGAAATAACAGAGCTGGTATATTTCCTATTTGTCGGTTCCTGTGATACCTAATATTGAATTGTAGTCAATTTCTTTTTGTCTTTGTTAGTTTATAATCTGAAGAAGTTGACACTATATAATTTGACTTAACAGGAGAGATTATGTTATGCTGTTCGTTATTGGATTTATATTTGAGTCCACATCTTTATGCAGGTTCGCTTATGTCCCAAGAGAAGGCAGACAATGCTCTTCTCAGCCACAATGACTGAAGAAGTCAAAGAACTAGTCAAACTTTCCTTGAACAAACCGTTGCGGCTCTCAGCTGATCCATCAGCTAGAAGGCCACCAGGCTTGACCGAGGAGTATGTCATCCACTACTTATCATTTTCAACCTTTTTAACAGCCCAAATATTTATCCACAAATAGCTTATGATCTTGAATATATATCATGTATACCATGAAGCTAACTTGTGATCTCTTAACTGTAGGGTGGTAAGAATACGCAGGACTCGTGAGGCTAATCAGGAAGCTGTTCTTCTATCGTTGTGCACAAGAACTTTTAAATCAAAAGTCATTATCTTTAGGTTAGAATTCACTATATATATGATGCCTTTCAAATCCAAGTTCCATAAAGTGCTTGCATAGTTTGGCATTTTGCATTTCACCTGAGATATATCTTGTCCTTCTTGCGCCAGTGGAACAAAACAAGCTGCACATAGACTGAAAATTTTATTCGGATTAGCTGGCCTCAAAGCAGCTGAGCTTCATGGAAACCTAACTCAAGCGCAACGTCTTGATGTAAGAAACTTGCACACATCAGCTTTATTTGTACACGAATATGTCTATTCTCTGTTTGCAAGTACTTAATGGTATCATTTTGCAGTCTTTGGAACTTTTCAGAAAGCAAGAGGTTGATTTTCTCATTGCTACTGATGTAGCTGCTCGAGTAAGTATAAGAAGCAAACAACTTATTTTCAAGATTCTCTTCTCAGTAGTCAGTAGCTATGCTTTTTCACCTCTTGAACACTGTCGGGTTTGATCATTCCAGGGACTTGACATCATTGGTGTTCAAACAGTTATAAATTATGCTTGTCCTCGGGAAATAGACAGGTATATCCAAGATCTTTCCTGTATAATGATTAAATTAAAAAGCTATCAGTTTTCTTCTCTTTATCTGATGCGAGGACAATACGTTTTACTTTGATTTTGCAGTTATGTTCACAGAGTTGGTAGAACAGCTAGGGCTGGAAGGGAAGGTTATGCTGTTACGTTTGTGACTGATAGTGACCGATCCCTTTTGAAAGTTATTGTAAGTATATCTTCAGACATACATGGATCTTGCTTTTACCCAAATCATTATCGCTCTAGTTTGGACATTCGAATCAACTTTGTTTCTTTGGTTACAAGGCAAAGAAGGTGGGTTCAAAGTTGAAGAGCCGAGTCATCCCAGAGCAGTCAATCGTCAAGTGGTCTCAGATAATCGATGAAATGGAAGATCAGTATTCCGCTGTTATTTCAGCAGAGAGGTTCCATTCACACTCATCAAAGAATTACTGTATCCCAGGCCAATTGATTTATCTGTATACTTAAGCTTTGAGGTGCTTTCATCAATTTCAGGGATGAGCGAGCTCTAAGGAAAGCTGAAATGGAATTTGCAAAGGTAGGCAGCTTTGGTTCTTGACTTTGTTCAATTGTCTTGGGATATATTTCAAATTCGTGATTATGGGTTTTTTTCTGCAGGCGGAGAACATGCTTGAGCACAGAGATGAAATATATGCGCGCCCAAAAAGAACTTGGTTCATGACAGAGAAAGAGAAGAAGCTCGTGGCACAGGCTGAAAAGGTGTTCTTTTAATTTCCTAAGGTTGCTGTGGTAGAGAGAGAATACACTTTTCTGAATCATTCTGTATACTTTCTCTGAACAGGATTCTGCAGGGAACCCTTCTGGAGGCGAACTAGTTAGTGCTGATAGAGCAGAGGACCTCAAGATGAAGGAGAAGAGAAAACGTGAACGCGAGGTTTGTTTATCAAGAAGCTTAAGCTCTTCACTATTCAGTTGCATTATCGTTATAGTTTAGTGTTGATTTCTTCTTCCTAGAGAACTTACAATACTCTTGATCATGCAAGTACAGAAGAATCTTCCTAGGAAAAAACGTAGAAAGCTAGAAGCTGCCAGAGAAATGCTAGAAGATGGTGAAGGAGAAGAAGACGAAGAAGAAGGAGACGAAAAGCGAGGAAGATCAAGAGTAAGTATTTCAGTGATACACATCACTCTCTCTCTCTCTCTCTCTCTCCGAGATGACGAAACATTGTATTGATTTTAAATGTGTTTTGTTTTCAGGGGAAAGACAAAAAAAAACAAGAGACAGAGAAGAAGGGATTGACACTAAAGGATCTTGGTTACATGAGAGCAAAAGCGGTGAAAGCAAAACAGAGAGCAATTGATTCCGGTAAGATGGAGAGACCAACGCCGAACAAGAAACCAAACCGGAGTAAACCAAGAAACCAGCCTCGTGATGAAGAGATGAAAGATCTGTTCAAGAGTGATATGAGCGAGAAGAAACAAGGCAGAGGCGGTGCCGCGGCTGCAGCAAAACCTAGGACGAAGTCGAAGAACTCGTTCAAGAGCAAAGCCCGGTAAGAAACATTTCATCATAATCATGAAATTTATAACCAATTAACCATACATTGTAATTTGTTGGTTTAACTCTTGTATTTTCTTCTTCTTGTTTTGTCGTGCAGATATAAGCGTAGGTAAAAAGAAAAAGCTTTTTTGAGAAGATATCGAAGAACAAACCCACTAGAAAAAAAAAAGACATTTCTTAGCGAAGGGTTTTAACAATTTAATTAATGTTGTAATATCAGAATTTAGAACTAAACAGGTCAAGATGTTCGCAATTTTGTATTTTCCCTATGGTTTTAACAATCTTTTATAAAGTTTACGATGATTATTCATACCATGGTATAAAGAGGCCAAAGGTCACGTGAGTTGGCGACGGTTGTAGACGCGTGGGCACGTGAGATGAGTAAGTATGTTCAGAACTTGAGTTACTGTAACCTTTGTCTGTTCGTACGTGGCACAGCTCATTTAGTCACTAGCATGTTTAGAACCGATTTAGGAGAGCTAATACGAATTTCTAGATGCCTTCTTTCACAATGTTTGTTGTTTTGATAGTAGTAATTAGGGTCGATATAAATTAAATTATAGTACTAACATATGTTAGTGAAAAAAAATGTATGTGGATAATCAAAAGATTAAAAATATTAAATAAATATATTAAGATTTAAGATCGATAGAGACGATAACACGCTTCACAAGTCATTAGAAAAGAGACTGAGGGTAGGTAACGTGTAAGCCTCCCCACTTTTGCTCTTTTCTTTCTTACACTCTTCTTTTATTCTTATCTTACGCTTCACCTACCATATTTTTACACTCCACACAACAGCTCTTATACATCTCTAACTTTAATATATTTTGTAGGCAAATCATTTTTTATATAATTAATTCGTTATAGACTTTAGTCTATTTTTCTTGTTAAAATATATTTTGATCATGAAACCATCCTTTGGTATTTTGCGTGTTATGTCGTTAGCATTAACAAAGATAATAGGTAGGTACATGGCATGATTTACCTGTGACACATAAAAATATGAAGACATTCCATATTTGCAGGCAAAAAAAAGAGAGTAAAAAGTGAACAGATGTTGACGTAAAACGAATCAAGGAGAAGATGGTATGAGGTCTCTTATTGTTTATTTTTTTTTGTTAAAGATGTCTTATTGTTTATCCAAAAATAAGAATACAAAGTGCAAACAAAAGAATTCACTAGTATCTGACGGAGTTTATTGCATCTGTCTTTTTTTCTTCTTCTTCTCCTTTCTTTTGGGGTTTTCTTTCTTTTTCATATTCTGCATGTTTTTAAAAACTTTACTTTTATTACAGAATTTCATCTTTTACATAAATTTGTGTGATGGCAATTTATGATCGATCATTCCACCTTTTTTAATTATTTTACTGACAAAATAAACATGTGTTATTCTATTAGTCTTAAATAAAAAGAATTTTGTTTTATAAATTCGCTATTGCGCAATTTTACCAATCAAAACAATGGTTTTATATTCCAAATTTATTCCCAAATAAAAATCGTGACAATTTGAAGTCAAAAGAACCTGAAATTTTGCCTAGCCGATTTGGCGAATTACATTTGATTTTTATTTTTTTGTTTTATTTAAGAAATATCAGAAATTTGGCAACAAGTTTTCAAAACTCTTAATCATTAAGAGATGAATCCACATCAACATAATTAATTTTTTTCGCAACACAAAAGCCATATTCGAACTCACCAAAATATTTATTTCTTAACGAATTAAGCTAACCGCTCTCAAATTTTTGTTTTCTCTTATTTCATACATCACCAAACATTAAATCCATTGCACCAAAATTTGAGGACTCTGTGTTATAAAAATAATTACCGTTTAGACTTAAAATAAATTAAAATCTGCGCTTCCCCAAAAAAGCTATAACGGCGAGACACTCCACAAAACCAATGCAATGTAATGGACACATGTCTTTAAAAGCAAGAAGTGAAACATAAGAGAGAAAGTTTCAACTTCAAGCATACACATTACCAGAAAGAGAGTTCACAAACAAAGCCTCTCTTCTATTTTCATTTAACAACAACCCCAAAAAAAAAAAAACCAAAAACTTAAAAGTGTTTCCCTGCTTTTTAAGTTCCCACACAAAATTGAGTTCTTGTGTTCGGTTGCCAAATGGGTTCCAACTGATTTATCCGTTGTTATTCTTTTTGTTTTCTTAATATTGTCTTCGTGTTCTTGTGTTGAAAAATGATGAAGAGAGAGACGTTAAAAGAAGTAGGAATAATCGGAGGATTAGCCGGAGCTCAGGTGATCTACGCCGGAAACTCGGAGCTACTGAGTCAGTTGTTGTCTCTTGGCATTGACCCTCTTCTTATTGGAATCCTCTGCACCTTTGCATCATTTCTTCTCATCACTCCCTTTGCTTTTCTCCTTGAAAGGTAAAATTCTTCCTTTTTTTTAATATCACAAACTCTCTGTTTCGAACTTTATTTCTATAATATTTTTTGTTATTTTTTTTTGGATTTTTGTGAAATGGTTCTATGTTTTTTGGTGGTGTGTATTTGCAGGAAGCTTTGGCCTACAAGTCTAAGTTTCAAGTTGAAGATAAAACTGGTTTTGGTTGCTCTTGCTGGGTAAAAACTCCTCCTTTTTTATTCATGCATGTTTTGATTATTAGATGCTTACTTGCTTCTTCTATACGTTAAAGAGAAGGAGAAGAAATAAAATTCATAACAAGTGATTAATTAAGAGAGAAGTTGTGTTTGAAACAGAGTGTCTCTGTTCCAGTGGTTATACTTAGAAGGAATGAAACATACCTCTGCATCAATGGCTACAGCTATGCCTAATCTCTGCCCTGCTTTCATTTTTGTCATTGCTTGGGCTGCTGGGTAATTCTTTTACCTTTTTGTTAATTTAGTATGTTGAGCTTTGTTTAATGGGTTTTGGATTATTGATTTTGTCAAGGATGGAGAAAGTGAAGCTAAGTTGTATGTACAGTAGAGTTAAGATGGGAGGGACAGTTTTGTGTGTGATGGGAGCTTTCATTATGAGCTTAATGCATAGTACTACCGCCACTTCTAGCTCGGTCAAGACTATGCCTATTCTCCCTGACGAAGTCGTTGTGGACAAGGACAAGATCTTAGGTTGCCTCTATCTCCTCCTCGCCATCTGCGGCTTGTCTTCTAGTATTGTCCTTCAGGTTTCACCTTATCCCCTTTCTTAGCTCTAGAGCTATCATATATCCGGTTCTTTGCTTGTGAAATGACTTTGATTGTCCTAATTAGGCATCCATACTAGCTGAGTTTCCGGCACCTATATCGATGTTCTCAATGGTATCTTTGATGGGTGGGATCACCACGGTAGCTTTGCAGTATACTCTTAAGGGAAGTATGGAAATGGGAAGTGCATCAGTAATCGGTCTCGGCCACCTTGTGGGATACGCAATACTGGTACGTCATGAATAATATATGGTGTGCAACATTTGGATGTGTTGAAAATATATTTTTTTTTTTTGTTTCTAGGGAGGGTTGGTGAGTGGAGGAGGGTTAAGCTTCAATGCATGGGTGATTAAGAGGAAAGGACCAGTGATTGTGTCTCTCTTTAGTCCAATTGCTACTGTGGTTTGTGTTGTTGTCTCTGCTTTCACCATGGAAGAGAGTTTCAACCTAGGAAGGTACATTTTTGCAGCTTTTCTCCTTCAAAGTATTAACTTTTAGACACAAAGAGAAGTCATTTATCTTCTTTCTTGTTTTTTTTTTCATGTATCAAATAAATTAGCTTTGCGGGAATGGCGTTGATGTTCGGAGGACTCTACTTCGTTCTATGGGCTAAAGGGAAAGAGGATTGTGAAGAAATAGATGAAATAAAACAAGATGATGAAGAAAGTTTGCTTAGAACAGATTTTGATCTTCAGAAGCCTCTATTGCTTTAGTTCAAAGTCTAATTTTTCTTAATGTTCTTGTGAATTTAGTTTAGGTTTAAAGAAGTAAGATCAATTTTTACTTTACAGATAATACAATTATATATACATGTAGACTGTAGTATATGTTAAATAGGTGGATATAAAAAAACATCACACACAGGCCGAAGAATAAGGGCCTAAATCATGTCATGTAAAAAGTTGTTCAATATGAAAATATTTATATATAAATAAAAATTACGGTCGAAAATTTAACCCGATTATTACAGTAGAGGTACAAAATTCTTTGATGAGTTTTTCGTTGTCTCATTCTAATGGTTAATGGTAACAACGGTCCAACCCAATTATATGCTCGATATCTCCCCTATATCATTAACCGATTTTCATGTTTTGAAGGAAGAGTTATTAGAGACCACAAAAAAGCTCAAAGATTAGGTTCATGAGAACCCTATTAGTCCATAAGATTAGGTTTTGTCGTAAGAACTCTCATATATATATGTTATGTAAGACATTGATGACTGTAACCAAAGCTGCCTCTTTGAGCAGCCACATTCATCTTTTTATGAAATATAATCGAAATCTACTTTGCTCTTGAAGACAAACCTAAAGCTTTCTCCTTTCTCGTTCTTTACATTTGAATAAAGCTTCATATGAGCTATATCATTTTCAGTTTCATATTTCTATGTTAATAAGCTCATAATAAGCACAAATCGATCTTGCTTTTAGAATGTCTACACATTTGTTCACATGTGCCAAGTGAGTCGTCAATGTCTCTAGTTAACTATATTGACTTCCATACATATACACATTTAGAAGGGGACACTTTTTTTGTAATGATATATATGAGACTATTGTTTGCATAACTTCTTTAGATCTATGTTTTATTACAGAGTACTATTGAAAATATTTATAGAAAATGATTTAATAACTTTTTTTTTCTTTTTTCTTTTTCATCTGAAGAGTTATGGATTTACTGAAAATTGAGATTCAAGCAAAGCTAAGTAGTTAACACTAAAGATTCCATTGTGTAAGCCTCTTCTTTACTCAAATATGTATTAAAGTTCCAACAACCCAAAATTCAAATCCTTGCCTTCTTTTTAATTCTTGGTAATGTTAATATATGTATTCTTTGTCACCTTTAAAATGAAACCATGATTACCAAAGGTAATATTAACAATTTAATGCATTCTTAACTACTGCTACATCTGTGTGTAATTGTATGACTATGCAACATTTTCATACACTTTATCAAGAAAAAAAACATTAATAATACATAATGTCATCCTCTTTTTAAAAAGTATTAGTTTTCTAATAGTCTTATTTACTATTTGACATCCAAATGTTATGTATGAAACAAAACAAGAACTGTTACTATAATACGACAAATAATTATTTAACTTCTGATTACTTAGAAAGTATAAATCAAATTTTTTTTGGATAACCAAACACAATCGTAAGTTTTCGAATCGGAGAAGCTATCACATTTATTAGTATCAGCTGCATTATTGGTAATTAAATCGAACTAGCATCGAACCAATGGTAATCATTTTATAGTCCTTATCATGAACCATTACGTAAAAAGTGAAAATAAATATAGAGATTTCAGTATGAATGTTAAGTTTGTTGAACCTGCAATCATAAACAAAATTCAGTCCCGGTTCGAAATTTTAAAATACTAAGACATTATCATACTCGCAAGTCGCAACTAATTACATTGAAATAAGAGCAATGAGTCTCTCTATTGCAAACAAAAGAATGACATCCAAGAGTTCTAAATTCAGCTTAACAAGTTGGAATCGAATGCAAACCATGTTTTTTTTTTTTTTTTTTTTTTTTTTTTTTTTTTTTTTTTTTTTTTTTAATGCAAACCATGTTGAATTAATAAACTATTGTAAAAACGGATTCAGAAACAAAGTTCAATTAGGTTTCACATATTTATAATACGAACAAACTATACGAAATCATCTAAAACATACTGTATATTTCTCTATTTTTAAAATAAATTTCTCTAAAAAATAATCAAACCGGAAATTTATATTTATGGTGGTCTAGTGGTTAGAAATACTTACATTTTAAAGATTCACCACGGTTCATAAAGACAAAGTATCAAAAAACTGAAAAATAAGAAACGAGATTGGACAGCCCTAATAAAAACCTTATGGAATGGTTAAACATACTTGGACCTTTCTTGTCATCATTGTGTAGTCATTCACTTATGTGTCGACACCATCGTATGTTAAAGGATACCAATCTAAGTACAATTATAGATATGTGATAATTAGATTGTTGCTTCGTTTTTATTTTTCAAAGTATAACAGGCCTATTCAAAACTCACGAGTATCAAGTTATTTAAACGTTTAAACCGTTAGAAATGACATTTCAGCATTAAAACCTCAACGCCCAATTAAATCAATGCAACTAATACAATCGTTTATGTATCATTTCAACCTCGACACTTCAACCGATTCTGCCATTACAATTCTTCCAACTAACCCAACCAACATAATTCACACATACTTCGTTATTATGCTTAGAAACTCTTTTATGCTTTAAGAAGTCTCTAGTCAACTAAAGAAGCAAAACAACAGCTTTTTGTTTTTGTGCTTTGTTAGTCTATCTTTTAAACAACATTACCTTTGTAATTAACTAATAATTCAAATTTTAATCTTTCTGCATTAATTCGAGATTCTTCACTCGGTGGTTATCGTTGTCAGCCAGAATTAAAAATAGTATAGTTTTGTCTTAATTTTTTTTACTAAAACTAAACAAAAAAACTTATCTTTACGTATCATTAGTAGTAGTTATCGTATGGACCAAAAAGTCATAATTGTTAATTTTGGGGGTTTGTGAAAAAGAGAGGAATGCTTGTTACCTACTCTTATTAACTTCTCTCATTCTCTCTTTCTTCTCTACTACAACAGTCTCTCTAATCAAATTGAGACATAGAGAGAGAGATTTGACAAAAGAAACTTAAAGTCTTCTTAGGTTTCTTTTCTTGCTTTTTGTTGTGTTCTTGTTCTTTTGGCAAAATGCAGAACAAACACAAATGCAAGCTTTGTTCCAAGAGTTTTTGTAATGGCAGAGCACTTGGTGGTCACATGAAGTCTCACTTGGTCTCTTCTCAGTCGTCGACTCGGAAGAAACTCGGTGACTCGGTCTATTCTTCTTCTTCTTCCTCCGATGGTAAAGCTCTCGTCTACGGGTTGCGAGAGAACCCAAGGAAGAGTTTCCGGGTCTTTAATCCGGATCCTGAGTCCTCCACCGTTTACAACAGTGAAACAGAGACCGAACCTGAGTCCGGAGACCCAGTTAAGAAACGGGTCAGAGCAAATGTTTCAAAGAAGAAGAAGAAGACAAAGAGCAAGAGTAAGAAGCAGAAGACGAGTCACGAGTCACCAGAACCGGCGAGTTCTGTCTCTGATGGTTCTCCTGAACAAGATTTAGCTATGTGTTTGATGATGCTCTCGAGAGATTCAAGGGAGCTTGAGATTAAACTGAAAAAACCAGAGGAGGAAGATACAAAGCCGGAAAAAAGACATTTCCCGGAGCTCCGCCGTTGTATGATAGATCTGAATCTTCCTCCGCCGCAAGACGCCGAAGCTGTCAGCGTCGTTTCAGCCATATAAAGGTTTCAGAGATTAGAGAACATCGAAAATCAAAGAATCTTGATGATTTGGTTTGTCTTCAAGATTATTATTCTTTATTAGAAAAAACCGTTTATTGGTTTTGGAATCTTTGGGATGATATTATTATCAAACAATGTACTTTTGATGTAAGACAACAACAACAAAAAAGAACCAAGAAAGAAACTAGCTCTGTTTCTAGTTTTCTTAACAATTTGAGACTGCTTTCTTGAATATCCAGGATGATTATAGATTGTTGGATCTTTCTTTGTTATGTCGTTTTGATGATATTTGGAATTCTTGAGATGATTCTTTTGCATGATCTTTGGATCTTGGATCTTTTATTTTATTAATGTGTTTTTAATGGAACTATTTAATTTCAACTACATTTTTTTATGACACAACTCACACAAGTGTGTGCTATTTTTAATAATGTAAATATTATTCTCGCTACGTATAACAACTAGTATACACACTGGTGATACTCAAAAAGTCTCAAACCATCCAAAATATGATCAGATCATAAACATTCAAAAATATCTCGATAAGTGAAATATCTAAACTCAAAAATACTGAGATATTTCATCTAAAAATGCAATGAATTATATTCGTTGAATAGTGGTGATATATCGAATTTTAAATTTCTGATATATCGGTTTATATCCACCTTATACGTTACTACTTTTTCTTAAAACAATAAAAAGACAATTACTTATTGACAAAAAAAAGAGGATAGTTACTTATTTGGTTGTTTAATTCCTAATTTGTTTGTGGTGTCGTTTGTGTCGCCAGCTGCATCTGTGTAACTCTGTCTAGTACAGTTTTATACCAAAACAGAACCATTTATGTTTCTTTCTTGACAGAAAAAAAAAACACTTTTTTTTTATGGGCAAGGTCATTAAGTAACATACTTATTTATTACAGAAATATGCCTGAATCCATCTTCAAAATCACGTTTCTGCATGTTTACCCTTGCCTGACTCTCAGAGTTAAACAAACAATTATCCACTGACAGATCGACACCAGAATTAAACGAAGAGTCTTTTTCTTTATGTATTTTAGATTTTTAGTTTGCTTGAGTAATTTTCTTAAGAAAAAAGAAAAAACATTTCATTATGTTAGGTGTGGAAAAACGGTCTATTTCCCCACGAGAAGTATGCGTATCACGCCAGATAGAGCCCGTTCTTTGACCTCGGTCTATATGTCCCCGAAAACATATTTCTCAACTTATAACCCCCCCAATCCATAGTTCGAAAGCTATATATCTCCAAAATAATAGTTGTTCACCTAATTATCCACAAATTTTGGTTTTACTCGGTTTACTATTTTCTTAACCAACTAACGAAGATACTTAACCGGATAAAACCTAATCTAAACCAATTACAACCCAATTACAACTAAATTACCCGACCCAAGAAAAACACCCCACCCAACTCACCCGATTAGATCTTCGTTTTCTTCTCTCAGTTTTTTTCTTGTTTTGTACTACCTTCATTTAATTTCAAATCAAATGATCATAAGATTAAATATGGTAAAACCAATTTTTTTTTTAAAAGCCTACCACCTAATCTTCTTCTTCCTCCACCGTATCACAAAAACCAGTTAACACAAATCCACTAAGAAATTGTTTTCCTCATTTGACCCGGTTTTGACAAAACTCAAAAGTCATCACTCTGCTATGAACCTCCGAGTAGAACCATCAGAGAGGAAGAAGAGAAAGACAAAGGATTTGTCACCACCACCTTCACCGGAGACGAAATTGCCCTAAATTGCTTAGCCACAATCTCAAGATCGTACTACTCAACACTCTCAATCGTTCCCAAGAGCTTCGGCTCAATTTTCTCTTCCACCAAGCTCTACGCAGCCAGACCTCACCTCGGAATTACCAAACAGTGTCTCTATGTCTATCTATGGGATCACAACTATCAGTTTCTCCAATGGTTTACACTGGTCTAACGCTAATTGAACCGTACCCGACTCCATGATTAAGAAGAGGAGGAAGAAGAAGACAATTGGACAGTTGTTGGTTCCAAAATTTTCCTTCTCTATCAAAAGCTACCGTTGTTGTTGGACACCGAAATTGCAGGATGTGTTGTATACTGGTTTTTAATGTGAAATTTGATTGATTTTGCACTTTTTTAGATCAAAATCCTCATAAAATGAATTTCTTCACCTCTTTGTTTGTATGTTTTTATGGGTAGCTTCATCGTTTCACTGTACACGAAACAAAAGTTTGAACATCCGAATTGTGTAGTTATTGACATCTTTTCGTTTGAAAATTTATTTATTTGGATTTGGAAGGAGAAGCAAGAACGATGATGAACATGGAGGATTTTAGGGTTCTTAAATTTGAGAATTTGGGGATTTTTAAGGGAATTTGGGGATTTAGATTGGGCCGGGTTTAAAATGTTAGTCGGGTTTTAAATTTGGTTTCATATCAGGTTTGAGTGGTTTAATATCGGTTTAGTTCGTTTGGGAATTGGGGATTCTGAATTTGGGGTTTAAAACGACAATGGGTCGGGTTAGAATAAGGAATCGGATCTTTTTTGGTTTGGTTACGACCCAATACATGGTTTCGTCTCGGGTTTACGCACCAAACCGACGTAACCACGATTCGGGGAGATTAAGCTATTGAACTTCCATTTCATGGGGAAATAAGTATTTAACTTCCGTTTCATGGACATATAGACCGAGGTCAAAGAACGGGCTCTATCTGGCGTGATACGCATACTTCTCATGGGGAAATAGACCGTTTTTCCGTTAGGTGTCTGAACAATTTGGAGATGAAGGGTATTTTAGTACATATGATAGTTTGTCATATCATATAAAGGTCGGGACATGTGGCACAACTATTTCGCTTTAAGCTTCCGTTGGAAAATATGTGGACCGATCATAGAATTACAAATTATGTACCCAAATTATCTATTTTAGAGGTACCAAATTAGAAGTGTCATTCATGTTCACCATAAATTTGGTTGATCGTTTTATAATATTCACACAAATTAACAATTCGTAAGAACATTATTCGAAATCATAACATACCTAAGATGTTTTGACAAAAATATCATATTAACTCATCAGGGCCCACTGTAAAACAGTGCAGTGGCACTCGAGTAGACCTCGCTGTAAAACGACATAGTGTCTGATGAATCTGAATAGGCTTAACTCTGAAGAACTTAGTGGGCCGTTATGAGCCTCATTTGATCTGGCCCATTTTGATGTGCTCATTAGTTAGAAGCTCAGTTCTTTTGAAACTTATACAGTAGTTCCATTTATGCATTTCTCTCAGTTAACAAAAAGCTAGAAAATGTGAGAGATTATCTTATTCAGTTAAAAATGGGGCAACAGCCCTAGGCCACAATACTATATTCAAATTTTAGGCCACATTAACAAATTTATGTGTTTTAGCATACTTGTTTAATTTTTATGTTTAGTTTATTTTTCCTATTGGATTTTTATCATCACAGTCATTTATCTTTTAATTTTCATCTTTTATTATTTTATAATTTATCTTACATATTTTCTTACTCTATTGAAGTTATTTCTAACCAAAGTTTTTGATGATATTTTGTTAATTGAGTTTTTTTTAATAATTAAAAAGGCCACAATTTTAATTTAGCCATAGGCCTCTTAAGTCATAGGCACGGCACTGTCTTTGATAAGGTAAAATCAAAGAAAATAAAGTTAACGTTATTTTTGTTAATCCTCTCTAACCTTTATTATGTACATAAGCAATCCATCAAGATGATCAAAATCTTGCCGTCTTAGTCAGTACAATTTGCTGAGACCAGAAGTGACTCCGGATTCACCCAACCGCGGAAACAAAACCTCTTTGTCAATCATAACCTGAAGATGTGATGTGATCTTCACAAAGGAGACCCATAGAAACGGTGCACAACAAAATGCATACCCGAAAACCGACAATGCTCTGACAACGCCATCAGGATAAGAAGGAAAAGCCATCACGAGAAGCGTCCCAAAAATGCCAAGCCATGGTGTTATGACAGGGAGCATTGGAAGTAAGAAGGCGTTGATGGGTATGGTAGAGAGAGCAAAGGAGCCGGTTAAGTAGAGAGACCAACCGATGAGCGGGTGGATCGTCTGTGGGATGATGAAGAATGGTATAATGTAGGCTGAGAGGATCAAGAGGAGTGCAACAACCTTGAAAGTTGTCTGGATCATGCTTAGATTCTTATCAGAACGTCGGTAACATAGCTTGGTCATGTTGGGACGCGCTAGGCGTGTGACTAGTATGATCCCTAGATAGAACACTGCTTGGATTAGAACCCAAGGCATCTCTGTGGAATAACTACAATGACAGCAGAGGATTAGTCCTGACTGTTAAATTTTTTATACGAGACAATGAGATGTTGAAACCTAGACTAATCCTAAAAACATGTAATTGCTATATATACTCCTAGAATGGTAAATTTGAATGTGTATCCGATGGAATTCTAGTTGGAGGTTACGAGTATTAGTCTTGGTTTCGGTTTTGTAATTAAATCAAACGAACCTTATGGTGTAGCGGCGTTGGTTGTGCCATGAGAGACCTAAAGGAAGAACAGGCCATGACCACCAGTACCATGGCTTTAACCAAACTGCTCCTGGGAACGTAATCACACTATTCGGTCCACACGGTACGTTCCATCTGAGTTTTAGGTCTAATAAAGAGAGTGACATGCACACATAAAGAAATTAGCAAAATGTTATAAATTTTGGGGTTAATGAAATGGAGAGAGTGGTGGTTACTTACAATAATAAGATGCGTCCATTTGATATCCCAAAGGAAGCCTAAAATGTCCCGTAAGCGCGGTGGTGCGGTTATCGGAAGGACTACGAAAGAGAGGCTGATTGAGTAAATCAGAGAAGTAGCTGACAAGAAAGCCTTGATCAGCTCCATCAGAGTTATCTCTCTTTACTTCAAGCTCATGAATCATGTCTCTAAAGACCTCCATTGATGGCTGCAACACAAAGAGACCAGTGTGGAAGATGCAAGGGTTAATGAAGACAGCACAGAATTGGCCACACTGGAAGAGCTCGTCTGTGTTTTTGAGGAAGAGATTGTCGACGTCGAGCATTACGACACGGTCATAATCAGAGAGAGACCAAGCGTAGAGCTTGTTTAGACTAAGCTTGAATCTGCTGTCGAAGTTGGTTTGTTTCTTGTATGGATTCTCAAGATTCTCTACTCTCACTACTTTAGCTCCGTCCTCTTCTTCCCTAGATACCCCATTAGTGAATTATATTAATCAAATTTACCAAATAAAAAAAAGATTATATTAAAAAACATTTTCTTCTAAACAACTGCAGCAAGAAAAAAAAAATGCATAACTTTGATTTATAGTTCCTGAATATTCTAATTTTTTTTCAGTTCCAGAAAAGGAAATCAACAAAAAAAAGTTTTAAAAGGTCTGAGACTTTTAGTTACTATAATAAGAATAAGTTATCTGACAGCCAATTTACTCTTTTTAACAATATTATCCTTTCTTATCTCTTTAAAATAAAATCAACTAGCAATCCCACTAATATATATTTTTACACATCTAATCTCTTAAATACTCACCTTCCACTAAAGAAAAGAGAAACACCAAATTTTTCCACCTAACTCATGTAAGTTTGAATATGAAAATGAAAATAAAAAGGTGATATGAATATGAAGTAATTCCGACAAACAAAGAAATAAATCATTTTAAAAATAAGCTTCTATGTTTGAAAGAAAATCCTATTATGATTTTTATTTATCGCTGAGATAATTTTTTATCAACACCAGAAGAAAAAAAGACAAGCAATCCAAAACAGGTCGTGGAAAACACGTCTGCGACTAATTAAGACTGTCTTGTTCTGAACATTTTCAATTTTAATAATATATATATTAGAGCCAAATAATCACATTTTGAAAATTTTGAATATTATTTTCATGCTCTTTCCCGCATTACTGCTCTTCCATGTTCTCATATATTTTTCCTCTAGATTAAAATATATATATATTATGAAAAATTTGTATAATCCAAATGAGGTTAGAAAAACTATTCTAAGAAATAATGGTTTTTCCTTGATTCAAAGAAGAAAAAAGACTTTAGATTTTTCTAACCAATTTAAACGGTATCGTTTTGGCGATGAAAAAGAAAAGAAGAAGAAGAAGATGAGGAGACACACTTACAGAGCGTGAATCCAGTTGATCGGAACGTCCAGAGAGGCGATGACGACGATATCAGCGTCCACGTGAAGACCCTTAAGCGATCTGATCAAGACACGTGTCGCAACGTAGAACTCGTAGTCTCTTGGTGTTCCCATGTACATCATCGTCGCATAAGCGTTCTTGTGCTCCGGCCGCTGCGTCTTTAATCCTCGCTCCATAACCGCGGTCATCGCGTTTGCGTTTTCCGTTTCAAACGGCTGGAACAGCTGTTTCTCGTTATACGCTGTCGTTTCGATGGTTAAAAGAAACAGAACCCAACAAGAGAACACTATAGTTCTCTGACAATCCATGCTTAATTTCTTCTTTATACAATTACAAACCAAGAGAATATTCAGAATTGGGTTTTGTGGGGAATTTCAATTTTCATGTTTTTTTGGGGTTTTACACATGTAATGTAATCACTTAATGTAATGGAATTATGAAAGACAGATGTTTCTCGGAGACTGGGAAGACTTTAAAAGGTCAAGGAGTGTGGCCAATATGAATTAATCTTTTTTAAAAAATTATTTATTTCCTTAGTTTTAAATTATCCATTTTAAGAAATAAATATTTTGGAAAAGGTTAACCAAAACTGGTTATTAGGTGCATGCTCCTTCCAAACAAATTAGTGACTTACTGGTTGTTGAACACCCAAAATTCAAACTTTAATGAACGTTGAGAATATGATACATACTCTTTCTGTAAAATATACAATTTTTCCTCTGTCATATCTGTTTTTTCCTTCTTGTTGGTCAGAACATTGCATCTTATTAGTACTTAAACTCCACTAGAGGAGGTAGTATTTGGATAGTAAGCATTTTTTTACCAAAAACATGTCATCAAATTGGCTAAACGTAGACCGAAACCAAACAAAATTGAGGGATTAGAAATGGAATGGGTCGTTGGGCGTATATACCCACTACTCGTTAACACAATCGCTTGATTTGAAAAGAGATATGAAGATGTGAGATAGAAATTATAGTTATATTGATGGTATAAATTTGTGTCTATCTTAATCATTTGAAAAAGAATTTAGTTAATACATTGTCTTTTGTTTTTCTTTAGGTAAAATTCGTCTGATAGGTTTAGTCCATAGATGAAATTTACTAATACTCACTAGATGCATGGTTGATGGTCACAATTTTTTGTATAAGTAAAGAAATAGTTCAATCTTTAAAAGGGTTGAATATTTTGTGTCTTTCAATAAATTTTTTTATATACGTATAAATCAGTGTTTTCACGTCCGACCCGATCTGTACACTTCTCCGGTATAGGTTTAGTGCTAATGTCCGGTAAATTTATTTTTTTTGCTCGGATGTCTAGTTTTTTCAAAACTGAAAATAAAACCCACAAAAATCTGTCATTAACCCGTAACCTGATGATTCGGTTGAACTGACCGGGTATCAGATCAAAAGCACATCATTTGATTTTGAAATAAAATATAGGATTTTAGATTTTTTTTGTATTCACTATTCGGTTATTTTTAAAACTTTTTCAGTTGTTCATATTCATTATCTTACTATCTTAGTATATTTTATGGTTTTAGTTGGACTAAACAATTTTAATCCCTTATATATTTTTTTAGTTCTAATTTTAATTTTGTAAAAAATGATATGATTATTTTAATTCTAATTTTTATATTTATAAAACATATATAAAGATTTTATTATTAATATAAATGCTAATTTATGAAAGATGTAGATATATCCTTTATCACTTAAATATAAACATAAATGTTTGTTACATTTTAATGTTTTTGCTAATTAATATAGATATCTAATGTTTATATGGAAAAAATGTAAGGCAGTTGTATATTTAGTTTGGAAGTATTAGTTACTTGATAAGATTTATTTAAGGTTGGACGTAGTCTCTGTTACATTTTAATGATCTTACTAATATAGAGATAAAGATGGACTCGTAGCCTCTTTTATTAATATTAGTTACGTAATTATTTGCTTAAGTTTGTGGTATATTTATTTTGGAAAGATTTGTTGCATAATTATTTGTAATTTTAATTAAAAATTCATTTTGATTAGTGGGATATATATTTGTATAATATTAATGGCAAATTCTGTAAATAGTCTAATAAAATTTGGGCAATTATTTAAATAAGTGGCAAATCATTCTGAGAGCGACACGTCAGCATGGCAATCTTGTTAATAACACGTCAATATAAGGTTTGTTTTTTAAAATGTTTCTCTATTAATATATAAGGGATTGTTGAATTATTAGAGTAGTGGAATTATTATATCGACTTTCAAATAAAGGATGATAAATAACAATGGGGAAATTACAGAGTGACGTATACATACATATAAACAAACAAAAAAATCTTATTCGTTATACTTATACAACATGATATGGGGTCCAAACCGTACAATGGTGTAATAATAAATAAAACTGTAAATAAGAACTAAAACATGGACAATTTATTTGGTGACTAAAAATAATGGGCCGGGAAGGTTCTTAGGTTCCGACAAAACCAAAACCGGAGACGAAAAAGGCCGTGGCCTGAAGAAAAAGATAGAAATGTAACCATGTGTGGCCATAGATCAGGCCATAGAGTGCACATCCTAATATGTACACCCCCACCATCACTTCCTTTGAATTCACTCTGCAATAGAATAAAACAAATTTTGATCTTGTTAAAACTATATGTATATTCGTTAGAAAACATCACCTATAACATAAGCGGAAATATATGTATAACTTCTTGATTAATTTCTCACCTCTCATAACAAGATTTCCTTTGGACGACTCGCGAGAGTAGCTTATTCTTTAAAGCATCTCCTAATTTTTCGGTCACAACCCATTCGTTAACTCTTCCTCCTTCAAGTAGGCCAATGCACGTTCCTTTGGTTCGATGCATAGCCATTACATTCTCGAACAAGATCCAAAATATCACGAGGTAGAAGGATCTAGTCGAATGCATTAAATTGAAATTAGAAAACATAAAAATCTTGATGAGTACATTAGGTTTAATTAATAGGGTAGGTACCTTGGAGTTGCCAGGGTATGGAAGATACTGATCAAAGAGGGAACGTAAATGGTAGACCAAGATGGGATATGGATTTCAGGGAAGAAGACACTTGTTGGCACAATTATACAGTAGAAGAAGAATGTCAAGAAGTGTACTGCCACTTTCCTTACGAAGAAAAAGCTGTAGATCACATAGAACTTCTTCCATATTGATACTCTCTGTTCCAAAACAAACATTCCTTGTTAATTAATTAGCTTTATGTACCGCAGATAAGAGTTGTGTTCAACATAAAACGAATGACTTCAATGCAAACAATAGTAAAATCGAACCACTGGTTGATATAAGACCGTACATATCACACTACCCCGGTCCCAACGAGAGACAAAGAGAGGGACTTAAACCAATCAATCACTGAAACGTGTGTTTCAACACTGGTCCTCAACTAGTTCAAACAGGACACCCTGCTTATCACTATCAGGGGGTCCCAATCCGTCTAAAGACAAAATAAACTAGGACATCAGTCACTAACACATGGCGTCTGAATGAAGCAAAGTGACAAAAAGGACCTTATTACGAATGATCTCCATCGTCATTTTTCTAAATAGATTCGCAGGGCCACAGGACCACCTATGTTGCTGGAATCGGTAGGCCTTGAATTTGCTTGGAAGCTCGTTTCTCACCTGCATACCTCCAAATTAGCCATTTATTGTTTTGTTTGTGATAACAAAAGGAGACTAATTAATGTATTTAGTATTCTTATGATTTTGAGTAACTAATTCTCTAATATATAAAGGAAAACGTGTGTTACCGTGAGGTCGTTAAGGTAGACAAATTTCCAGCCGTGAAGACCAACACGAACAGCCAAGTCCATGTCCTCTACTGTGGTCCTTGATTTCCATCCTCCTGCTGCTTCCATTGCCGATATTCTCCATACACCCGCGGTTCCTATAATTATTAATATATCACTTCTATTTCATGGTCCTAAAAATATGAGTCTTATAGTCACCCACAAGGTGTTTTCAACGAGTTTAATAAATAAGTGAAGGGACTAATATTAATCTTTTTATGAAATGTTTTTATTTTCCCTTTTAATTTAAGGTTCACACGATGCTTTCTCTTTGCTTAAGATGGCAATCCTTAAGGTTCATCGTCTTATTTTATTTTTTTGACTAAAAACCATCCTTAGGTTGATGAAATGATGACTGCCAACTCATATATATATAGATATATAATCAATTAATTAGTAAGTAGTGTTATGGTTCGTAATTACCCTTATATTTGGCTGGTTCTTAATTTTTTTTGTTCTAAGAGCTGGTGTTATTTTGATTGTGCTTGGAGATCTAATTATACCATTAAATCCGAAGAAAGCATGTCTAGTCGACCCTGATTCTTGTTCCACTTTGAAATGATAGTTGAGAGACATCTCTTGCATCCTCGTCATCAAGCATTTGTTCGCGTTAACTGCAAGAAAATTACCATTCATTATCACTGAAAAATAAATATTCATGTCAAACCAGTTGACAATATATACATTATACAGATTAAATGATTGTAAACATACCAAATATCCATCGGGCTTGAACGAGAGCAACGTCAGGGTTGTGGACAAGAAAGGGGACGGCGCGGATGAGGTAATCGGGCTCTGGTTGGAAATCGGCATCGAAGACTGCTACGAAATCGCATTGCTTGACGTAGCTATGCGTAAGAGCTTCTTTCATAGCTCCGGCTTTGTAGCCGTTCCTGTTATCTCTCCTTTCACACCTTATGTTTATGCCTTGGCTTTGCCATTTTGCAATCTCTATGTCCACACCGTCCTGCTTACTCTTTCACATTTATCATACTATATATAAAATGTATGCATCCTAATATGTGATGGATCGATATACTAATCTCGTTTGTATCGAAATCTTGTGTCATATATCTAATTTGACTTGTAAATCAAAAGAGGATTTAATTATAGGAAAAAGATAAACATCTTAGGTGAAAAAATTGTGAGACAAGTGTTACTCCTATACTATTTATTTGTTTCTCCTATGAAAGATAAGAAACGCAAAATAAAGTGTTCAAAAAAAAATTAAGCACTAATCAAGCGCTTGAAGAGGGTCTGACGCCTAACCAATTAAACAAAAATTATTGGGAAACTTTTTAATGTTATTTTATTTTTCTTTAATTAATAAAATATATATGATAGTTAAAGAAATTATGTATGTTTCAATATATTTTCTAATATTTAAAGTAAAATAAAATATGATGTTAAATATAAAATAATAATGTGTTTTTCTTATATCCAAATTTTTTTCATATATTCAAAATATTTCTCCATATTTGTAATTATTTAATAAATAATTTGAAAATATATTATTTTGACGTTTAACCAATTTATTAGAGGTTTAGGTCCAAAAATTGGTTGAAAAAGTTTTTAACCGATGCGTTTAGAACGTTCGATTGATTTGACTGCCTAAGTGGCCGTTTTTTTTTTAACATGCTATATGAATTGTTTGATTTTTTTTTTGTAACATCTAATTAATATATATAAAAAAAAAAAACAGAATTCGAACAAGCTACTTACCCTTACTGCCGGATCCGTAGAATCATCTACAACTTGAACTACTAGGCGGCTTGATGGCCAGACCAAACTACATATTGCCGCTATAGATAATTGAAAAACCTACAACGAGTAAACAGAGTATGCATCATTATGTCGTTAGTTCGTCATTATATATATATATATATATATATAGTGGAGAGTGTAGAATGTGTAATCAACCATATAATAAAGAGAGTGTAATTAAGAAAGGTATAGTATGTATGTATACCTCTTTTTCATTGTACATTGGTATTTGGATAAGAACCATTGGGTAGTTATCGGGTCCAACCTCAACATCTTCTTGCATGGCCTCCCATTTGTACACTTTATGGGGTTTACGTCTAAATAACTTGACGAAGAGTATCACAAAGTTCATGTAAAAACTCTCGAAGAACACTATAATAGATAGAACCAAACACATAACCACCAAACCCTTGAAAACAGGAAGTAATACAACACTCCTCGTTTTGGTCCACAAATACTGGAGTTGGATCCATTCAGACTCTGCAGCATTTTTGTCTGCTTCAAGCCTCTCCTGTGTTGCTGCAGCATCTTCAAGACTCCCTCCATTAAACTAATTCATGCATGAGAAAATAGCTATTAATTAATGTCACAGCAATTAATAAAGTATTTATACATATATAGAGAGAGCTTTGAAGTACCAGAAGTAAGAGGAGACTAAGAGTGGTATCGTATAGGAAGAGGAAGGGCTTCAGAAATAGAGACATTGTTGCTCTAGAACTGAAGCTCTCGACAGAGTAGAAGTGATGGTTTGATTTTCTTTCTTCTTTCTTGTCACACAATGACCCTTTTTATTGACATTTTTTTTTTTTTATTGTGATGACTTTTTACTATTGACTGGTTTTGTCTCCTTTGTAATATGTCACTCAATACTACTGTTATGATCTCCAAATAAATTTATATTTTTTTCTCAGACTCTAATTTAAGTGGACGAGGGCGTTAACGTTATCGCAGCTTCTCGAAGCTGGTAACCACAGAAGGGAACGCAACAAAAAATAATCATCTCCACCTCCTCATGATTTTTGTTCGATTTATTCCACGTGATTCATTCATCTAATTAATATCACTCCACATTTATTATTAATAAATGTTGGTTGTATTTTGTAACTTAGTGACGTACGAGTACAACGGTTTCATAAATCGTTACGTTTTTACTTGTATTTTTTTTAATCAAATCAGTAAATCACACGTTAAATTAAACTAGCATTTATGATTAGTTGCCCAGTTAAAAAGTGAAGAGGTTAGTTACAAGATAAACATCAGTTAATCTGCTTATAGAGGAATGAGCCAAATAGTCGGTCGTCCTAACATGTTTAAACAAAGAAAATTTAAAATTATGATATTTAGTATTAGGAGATTATTTTTTCATATATATTATTTATTAATAATAAAATGCATATATTTAAAATTGAATTACCACTGTCTAAAAAGTTAGTGTGAAAAGAAGACTTTTAAAATTATTATTTAGTTGACAACAATGGGTAACCGAACTGAATCCCAATTAAAGCCTTGAATGGTTGGTAGGTATGGTGCGGACCGGACAATGTATACCAATATTTTAGTATGCAATATGTCGGCCTGTAGTATGGAGCAAACAATTGTATGTTGGTATAGAATTTATGTTGGTATGAAGCTTTTGGGAAGTGAAATGAAGAAATGCGGAGCAACAGTGAATTTATAATGGTATGGAGAAGTATGCTGAAGTGCATACCAGTATACGGATTTTTAGTATGCAACAGTGCATACTAGTCCGGAATAGTGAATGGTGAATTAAATGCAGACTAATCCGATTTTAGTCCGATCTGCAGCATACTATACAACCATTCAAAGCCTAATTCTACGGGTGAATGTAATAGTTCATTCACTAATTTTGTTTATGACTATAATGTGATTACCCAAACAAAAGTGAAAGAACTCCGAAGATAAACCAAAGTCGAACGCTATACCTCCGAATTTTACCACCATGCCACTACACCGCTTACTTTTATTTTATTTGTTACTACCTTCTTTTTGGGATTTTCACTTTTTGTTTGTTTATGTCACAAAAAGGTCTGAATGAATTAATCTCATGTGCATACCAAATACCTTGCCCCCTGTATTTTTAGAAATGGAGAATTAATTAAATTTGAGAGAAAATTTTGAAATTGACTTATCAATGAATCAAACCATGTGAGCTGCCAAAAAGAAAAAAACATCAAAGCATGAATTCAATTTTTATACATGGTATATATTTTGAAAATACAAAAATGACGAGTGTGGATGTAGATTCGATTTTAGTATTGTGCTACTATTAAAATTAATATTAAAATCACGTGTACTTGATGATTTTCTTTATCAACAACATGTACGTAAATAAAACCGAAAACAGAGCGTTACAAAGAATTTCCCTAATAAACATAAGATGACAGAAAAAAAAAAGTATGTATTATACATATTTTAATCGGTGGTGACACACTAATTAATACAAACTATTACACTATATTCCATCATCACGTGTAGCACCAAATTGAATTCATAAACCAATATCCACAATAAGCACATAATTAGTTATCTTTAATTCCAGATTTAGAGTTCTTGCTGGTTATATTTATAGGGTTAGTTCTATTTTGTCTTTGGCGTGTGTTTATTAAAGATATGTTATGTGTGGCTGGCTATGTAACATCACATATATAATAATATAGACTATATAGTAGTAGGCCCATAATTTGTTTCATTCTTAAAAATATTTACAAGCATTAGAGCGGTCTTATATGATGTGAGTGTGACTTCCGAAGGTGGATGCATTTTGTAAAAGAAGAGAGGCAGATGCAACCACATTAGTTTTTCACAATTAATGCCATGTGAAATATGAACAATTTTGATAATACACCCAAAGTTGTGAGCAATTATGCCTCCATTGTTTTTGAACTAAAGTACAAAAGACAAACAAAAACAAAGTAAACCCATTAAAAGGAAAATTAGTACAGAAGCCCTTAAAACCAACACCTAATTTTGTAATCTTTTTAAGTGAAACCACAAATTTTAACTAAATTGATCTCCCAACCTATGAAAATTCTTTCCTGATCATGTTTCAGCCATTTAATTCGTTCGTTTCTACAATTTATTCCAAATATCACAATAACAATTTGAAAAAAAATAGTTTGAATTGTTCTTTTTTTTTTAAAGATAATCTTTGGATTACTCTAATTTATCAAACTTTAGGGTTCTACATATACATATTTAAAACCCCTAAAGTTTGAAACAACATTTGCAATAGCTGCAAGCTCACTCTACCAAAATCTTTCTCTGATGTCGGTTAGGTCAGAGCCACATAAAACAAGACAAAACCACACCAAATCGCACATTGGCCTTACTAGCTCCTCATAGCATTGAACGAACGAAATATTTAATTGCTCCTCCTAAAGCTATGAAAAATTTACATTCTTAACAAATATATATATATATTTTATTTTTATTAGCAACATGCAATATCAAGCTTTAGGGCTTCCAAACTCTTTGACAATGATCCAATTTCCTCTAATTGTTACTAAACAGGCTTTGATAGGCCCAGTGATCAGAATGTTTTCTCCACGAGTCCACGACTCGGTTCTCGTTATTAGTCTATTATTATAAAAACAGAACATGTACGGCTGAGATATTACCAAATTCATGATCCAACGGCGGAGAATCACTTGCATCCAAAAAGATGTGAGAGGAACATTCTGATAATCTGTACCCATCGTACAAAAACCTCAATACAGAAAAAAAAATTGAGACATCCCTAAATTTCACTGGTTTGGTTTTTTTTAGAACAAAAAAAAAAGCGAGTTGCTTTTGACCACCAGCTTTTTGTGTTCTTGTCTTAAAGATCAGATTGGCTAGGGTTCTTTCGTGCAATTTGTGATCTCTTCTTTCATAAAATTTTCTGGATTCTAGCCAATTTCTCTTGTGACTTTGAACAATATCTTCTCCGGAGGGTTGTGAAAAAGAGACGTTTTTGGTCCTGGTAAGTTCCGGATTCGTCTTTGTTTGAGCTCTGAGTTTTAAGGGTTTGTGTTCGATCAATCTTTAGATCGTTGGTGAAAAGCGTTTAATCGACGAAAAAGTGATGCTTTGGAAGATATGATCTTCTCTATCTCTGGTTATTACTGGGTTTCGAGATTGTGCTGCTTAAGATGTTACCTGTGAGAGAAGGTCTTCAGAAACAAGTTAAGATTTTGATTGGATTAGGGAATTTAGGGTTTGGTGGTTATAGAGGATTGCACTCTAGATTTACTAACCCTAACGGGTTTTTAGAACCTGCGAGCTCTGATTTGTTGTTGATTAACGAAAGGAGGAATCTTTCTGTTGTTGGTGCTGTTTCTCGAACTTTCTCTGTTCCTTCAGTATCTGGTCCAGCCTTTCAGGTTTGTGGATATCACATTGATCTTTTGCTTTCGGATCCGGCGTCAGTTAAGGTTCCGTGTAAATCGATGGCGAGTTTAGGTTCTAAATCATTGTTTGTGGATCGTCGTTGTGATTCTCTTGTTTTAAAGCGTTTCACTGGTGGTATGGTATCTGGAGATGGTCCCAACCGTGGAAGAATCAGTATGAGACTCAGAGGAAAAGATCACCAGGAGAAGTCTACGATCTATGCGTATTTTGCTTATAGAGGTGCAAAGAGATGGATTTATTTGAATCAGCAAAGAAGAGGATGGGGATTTAGAGGCTTGCATAGCTCACTCTCTAATCGCTTATCAGCTGGGAATGCGCCTGATGTGTCTTTAGATAACTCTGTCACTGAGGAACAGGTTAGAGATTCTTCGGATTCTGTAGCGGCTAAGCTATGTACTAAGCCCCTGAAGCTTGTCTCGGGGTCGTGTTATCTACCACATCCTGATAAAGAGGCGACAGGGGGAGAAGATGCTCACTTTATCTGTGCAGAGGAGCAAGCATTGGGTGTGGCAGATGGTGTGGGAGGTTGGGCGGAGCTCGGTATTGATGCAGGTTACTATTCTCGGGAGCTTATGTCTAACTCAGTGAATGCAATCCAAGACGAGCCTAAAGGTTCGATTGATCCAGCCAGAGTATTGGAAAAAGCTCATACTTGCACAAAGTCACAAGGGTCTTCAACGGCTTGCATCATAGCCTTAACCAACCAGGGACTTCATGCAATCAACTTAGGCGACAGCGGGTTCATGGTAGTCCGTGAAGGGCATACAGTTTTCCGTTCGCCCGTTCAACAGCATGACTTCAACTTCACCTATCAGCTGGAGAGTGGAAGAAACGGTGATTTGCCAAGCTCAGGTCAGGTTTTCACGGTTGCTGTCGCTCCTGGAGATGTTATAATAGCTGGAACAGATGGGTTATTCGACAACCTGTACAACAACGAGATCACAGCCATAGTGGTTCATGCGGTGAGAGCCAACATAGATCCTCAGGTAACAGCACAGAAGATTGCAGCATTGGCGCGACAAAGAGCACTGGACAAAAACAGACAAACTCCATTCTCGACAGCAGCACAAGATGCTGGCTTCAGATACTACGGAGGTAAGCTTGATGACATTACAGTTGTTGTCTCTTATGTGGCGGCTTCGAAAGAAGAAGGAAAACATTGATGAAGAGACAAATACAGATGTGTCATGTGTTGAGTTATAAAGTTTGTGTTTTGCAGAGACCTCTCTTGTTTTGCTTAATGGTTTGTGAGCATTCTCATCTGATTTTATTTGATTTTTTTGATATATATGTAAATAAAAGAGAAAGAGTTGGATTAGTCCTGATTCACTCCCACGGACTCACTCAATCTGTTAACAACGCCCACGGTAAAAGCCAGTGGAGTTTTTGTCACTTTTTTAGACTTTAGTTTTTGTCACTACAACTTGTCAATCTCGGCAATAATGGCTTTACCTGCTTTTACTAAAGTTTACTAAATTTCTAGTTTCTAATAGTCAAGAGTAGGCCTCTCTGTTGACCAATAAAAAATGTTAGGTGTCTCAACTCTCAAGGCATCTCTCTTGACTCTTGTAGTGACCAAAGACTCGAACAGGATTGGAGGAGCCAATATTAAGACATAAATTGAAAATGGTCTTGACAAAAAAATCAGTCAAGAAATAGTATGAGTGATGATGAGCTCGCTGTTTGAAGATAAATCTAAGGAAGCTTGTATTCCTATGGATGAGGAGGGACCTTTCACTCTCACTGTCACTGGCTTCCCTAATAGCTTCACTCCTTGCTTCCAATACTTTTCATCTGTACGCAGAGAAATAAATCCGCTAATTATTCCCCAGCCCCTTATAGATCGTGCAAGCCCTGAAACTAACATGTTGGGAAAACAAAAAAAGGCAATGCTCTACTAAAACCAGTTGAAAGGACAAAATCCATTAACAACTGCCCTTTAGTTGTCAAATTAAATCCAGTTTACCGTAAGCATCAGCCTACAACGATCAAACTATTTGATCCCTTTCAAGCAAAGATGATTAGCGAGTACTCAAGGTTAAGTGTCTCATACCTGGTCCTGTTGAGATCACGGTTGAGTTTTCTTCATCCATCACCCAATCCATCCACAATGCAATTCCATGGCATACGCCGGGTTTTATAAACTCAATCTGTTTGCAGGAAATAAAAAACATTTCTTAAAATCATTCATCCGAGTTATATGTATTAATGATGCCTCTGCAAACTGCATGCATGTGAATTTCCAACTAACATACCTGAACTTCCCCAGAACATGGACCTGTGATGCGCTTGGAGAAGTCAAACTCCATGACAGTAAATTCCTTGCTAAGTTTCTGAAAATTGTCCAAGAAAATAAACAATCTTTACATTCCCAAAGTTTGTCAATACATAAATCTAAGAACTTTTGTTTACCTTTGTCTCTCCACATTGCCCGATAAAGAAGGGCAAACAAGGACTGTCTTTACCAGAAGGTAGATCACCACATCCCCCTAAGGTTGTATTCACCAGAGCATGGTCAAACCCTTCTACATTCCCAAGGCAACAACGGCTCTTCCAGAGATCCTAAACCATAAGCCAATTCATGAATATACTAGCAAACACGGCTCTAGTTTATAATTGCTAAGAAACGACACTTACAGGAAGATACATCGCACAACCTCTCAAAACCCCTTTATACGGCATTACCACTGCATCTTCTGACAGGACAGAATCAAGTAGAGTTCTGTCCTTCCTTCACGCATACCAGAAAGAGAATCAGGCTATAGAGTTGACAAACTAGCGTTGACAAAGCAACATGACCAATTCAATAGCAACATTTACCAGAATCTGAGATTCTGCCACGGAAGCCCATTTTCAAGTCCGCTGTAATATGGCTCTCCAATCAGCAGATCAATCTGTTGATTCAAACATAAGGACACCGGACACATAATCAAAATCAAACCCCGAAATCATTTAAGGAATTGAATGACTAAACATAAGGACTAAACTAAGGGGGCATAACTTTTCAAGAGTTCAGCAACAAACTGTAACTTTTTAAGAATTTGAATATGATGTACATCACGTGAAAGTTTACCTTGCTTGGATACGCTTTGGCCAAATTTGCCTTCCCTTCTCTGAAATATTCGAAACGATCTTTTGAAAAGTCATTTGAATCAGCAATGGCTTCAAAGTATCTGGCAGCATTCTCTTGCAACCCAGGTGACAATGATAAAACCCGTGATCTGTTGGATATATGTAGAGCCATAAGTGGTAAGAGAAGACTATCATCAATGACGAGACATTGTGGATACGATTTTCCCTGTAACTGGAAAATAGGTGAAGAACCATTAAAGTGTGCACCGGAATGTTGGAGAAATATAATATGACAAGTATGAATAAATTTCTTACGATGGATTAGAGTAGTGTCCCTTATTAGGATTAAGAAGCCAAAATATTACCATAACCTTAAGCAATTTTCAGAGTAAATATTTTGTAAATATAAGATAGACATATAATTTAGAACCTACAGCTTTTCTTGTGGCCTCAAACAATGATTGCCTATATATACTGTCACCATATATTGCGACTCTTTCGGGTGGTAATGTGAGGTGTAGATCTCCAGTACTTAAAGGAGAGTGTGTCGTCTCATGTGTCAAGCTTTGAGTCTTCTTCAGATTGTACAAGATGTTAGTACAAGTATGAGCAGCATGCAAATGAACTTTTTCTCCTTTGGATATGGACACACCTGCCCCTGGAGTAAACCAAACACACTGTTTCCAATGGTCACACCAGTCTCTAACACCTGTAGTATTAGCAAGAAAAGAAACCAAAGTTGGTCAAATGACTCAGTGATCAACAACCTATTCGATCGCAATGGAGCTGAATAAACTGCAACTGGGGGAAAAAGGGATTCCTCTAAGCAGTATAAGAGCGTGAGAATTGACATAAGTCACAGTAAGGTGTAACTCACCTATCTCAAAATTTGAATCTATCCACCTGGGAGCGGTAGAATAGAAGATTGTTCCTTCACTATCAAGCTGCAGCACCCACCTGAACCAAAAAAGAACGATTCTTCATATCATACTGGTAAAACAAGTCAAGTCTTGAGCCCTCTGCCTAGGCTTTTTAGGTGGAATGCATGATAATGCATCACCAAAAAAGAAAAGTGTATTTTTCATTGTAGAGAACTACCAGTATGTTCAAACACCTAAAAAGGAAAAGAAGAAAGCCAGTAAAGGATGCATTACCATGAAATAATAGCATGAACACTACCCGCGGTTATTGCTTCTATATGCACATCAAGCTCTCCATTACTTTCTGGCCGTTTCCAAAAGTCAAATTCAAATATTTTGACGGGCTCTGACAACTGGATGAACATATGAATTGAGTGTATAAACTAAAGCTCATGCATTGCAAAACTGTAGGGGAAAGTTTAGGATAGTAGTACCTACCAGTTTGATATCTTTCTCAATGGCATCAACATGCATGCTATACTGTTGTGACTTGATACCAAATAGACTCTCTAATCCAGGAGGAACTAGACGAACACCATCGGATGTTTTAGCCTCGCTATTTCGTAGATCGTTCATGTTACATAAGAATCTGCTTTCAACAAGCTTGAAAACATTGTAAAGACAGAGCAAAAGGAAACAATGTGAGGATAAATTCAATCAAGCTCAAGATAAACAATGAAGATAAACCACAAATTCGATAACGAACCTGGCAATAAGTAGTAGCTCGGTATGGAACTGTTTTTGGATTATCAACCAGTAACATGTCATGAGCGTGTTGTAAACTTGGGATTAGACCTTCACCAAGTAACTCAGAGTCCAATATTTCACTTACCTAATGAAGAAGAGACACACTTATGTTTATTTCCTCTAAAATTCAGTACAAAGTATGTATCTTTGTATACTCACAAGAACGTCAGCTCGTGAAGCAATGTCTGATCCAACTTTGAGTTCATCGGATCGTTTGTTGATAAGGTTAATGTTCTTAGTCATCCCATTCTTATGCAAAACCTTCCTCATAAGCTTAACCATCGGTAAGTAGGACTCACACGCCGTCACCATTCCTTTTGAATCACCAGACTCTTCTTCTTCTCCTCTCATTGCTCTCACAGCCATCATCGATAGCAACCCAGTTCCAGCACTAGACACACACACAAATTCCATATTCTCCATATCAAAATCTGAGTGTTTAAACCAAGAATTGAATCAAGTTTATGGAAATGAGAAGACGAACCCAATGTCAAGGACGTGGCAAGGTTCAGTGATGGTTTTCTCGATAGCGAGACGATAAGCTCTGTTACGGCGAGAATCATTGAGCATGTCGAGATACGACGTCGTCGCGAGGAGGCCGTCAGTGGAAGTTCCGGGTTGGTCATTGTCTTCGATGATAATCCACTCGGAATTGCCGGTGAGAGGGTCTTGTCTGAGCTGGAAGACGCGTTGACTAGACTGAGAGCTCATGGTTCGAGCAGCGACGGAGCTTCTTAGGCGAGTCACTGAGTGGCACCGGAAGGAGATAAAGGTTTTGGGAAGAAGAAGAGAAAACAGAGACGACATTAACGGAGAAGAGACTTTCCGGCGGTTGTTTATGTTTATTGTTTATTTAGGCCCTCATCATTTTCTTTTTATTGCAAATGAACCCCAGAGTTTTGAAAATTTAAGTAAAAGTAAAACAATCCCAACTCTTTGTGATGCCAACAAGTGGCACAACGTAATTGGATAAATGATTTTATACTAAAAATTATGGCATAAAATAAATTATTCTTTTAACTAATTATTGTGATCTACTAATTTTAAAAATTTAACGTAATTCATATTATGATTGTGCACCATGACTATCTTTAACGGAAATCAACTAAGGCTCTTGAAATACAATATTTGTTGAAAATATATACATATATTACAATGTAAAGACAAATAAAACATTTCTAAGAAGTTATACAGATATTAAAAACATAAATATAAAAAATAAAATACAAAAATTGACCATACAATACATTTATATTGTAAGAGTAATCAAATAGTAAAATAAATATTACAAAAATTTAAGCAAAGACAAAATACAATATCCTAGAAGCCTTTCTATCAATTATACTTATATTAAAACAAAATTAATTTATAAAAAAACAAATGAAAATAAATTTTGGTCGTCAGTTGGAATTGGTTATCCGGCGGCGTAGCGCGAGTTTTGTATCTAGTGAATTTAAAAGACTATCATAGAAATGAATT